TCAATATGGTTATACCAAGTCAATATGTTGTCAACTGTTATGCCCAACAATTTGACATTATTTTTTCAACACTCACATCGAAAGTAGACGAAAAAATTAAATTTTGAGTTTTTTTATCATTTAGTGTAAGTTTATTTGCTAAGAACCATGATTGAGCATTGGAATTTATATACTCAGACATGGTTTCTAAAACTGAAAGATTTTTATCAGAAAAAACAAAGTAGTGTCATCTGCAAATAAAACTGTTTTAAATGGAGCCATGAAATTGGGCAAGTCATTAACATATATTATAAATAATAGAGGGCCCAGAACTGATCCTTGTGGATCTCCATGCTTTATCTGCTTAAATTCAGAGAGATAATTTCCGTACTTGACTGCTTGGTATCTATCCTTTAGTTATGATAAAATTAGTTTCAAAGGAGTACCTCTTACACCGTAAAAATGCAGTTTTTTTAGCAAAACATCATGAGAAACACAGTCGAAGGCCTTTGAAAGATCACACAGCGTTATGGCAGAGTGATTATGCTTCTCAAGGCCATCAACTATGGCACTCATCACATCTAAAAGTGCATGTGTTGTGGAACGATCCTTTCTAAATCCATATTGTGAACTAGTAAAAAAGTTATTTGTTTCGAAGTACGATATAAGACGCTTCTTCAGAATTTTTTCGATTATTTTACTGAATATCGAAACGATGGACATTTTCTAAAAATAGGAACAATCTTGGAATATTTAAATGAGGTTGGGAATATCCAGATTGAAAAAATACTATTAATGAGATGTGTTAAAGGTTTAGTAATTATTTGACTAGTGCTTTTGATAAAAGATGCGTTTAGCTCATTAGTATCCAAACAATTTGAATTTTTTAATGTTTTTATAACTGTGGATACTTCTTGTTGATTGGTTGGAGGCAGAAAAAATGAATTCGATGGAGCTGGAAATTTTTGATAGTTCAAAATTGTGTCGTCTGTTGTATTTGGAAGGGATTTTATAATATTCTCAGCAATTTCAACAAACAAGTTATTGAAAGAATCACAAGATATGTTGGTTGTTCAATTATGTAAACCATTTGTTTTATTTCGCTCATAGTTAATTATCTTCCAACACGTATTGGATCTATTCTTTGAAGTTAATATCAATTGATAATATACCCGCTTTTTCGTTCTTTTCAACTCAGCATTGTAATGATTTTTATATCTTTTATATTCGCTGTAATGTACTTGCTTTTTAGTAGAATCAACACGTGTTTTATATGTTTGCAAATGGTTGCTCATATTTTTAAGTCGTAATTGAACCAGTTTACCGGACATCTTCTGTCTTTGATAATCAGTTTTTTTAATGGAAAATAATGCGATACTGCAAGATTATAATTACCTATCAGAAACGTTACTAATTAGCGTAGGTAATTGCGTAGGTAATTTACATTTCCAGTCTAGCACGGATAAAAAGTTCCTCATTTTTAAGATACCCCTCTGCGTAAAGGCTCTAGTGCAAACACTTGACTTTTGCTGAATTGATGTTAAGCTTATACTGATGTTTTTTTTAATTTCCTTCATATTCTTGTGAAAAATATCTGTAATTATATAGATACAGTGATATAATACAAACTATCTCATATTTTTGTACACCAACTAAATATGTCAATAAGATAATATACTCAAAATTGGTAATGCCGGAGAGTTTTTCATTTTCCCAAATATGCTAATTTTAAATAGAAAAAGTTAAATTTTGATCATATTTACATTTCAGATCAAATAGGTACTTATTTAATAAATAAATTTATAACGAATTGTGAATTATTATGAATACTACTATGCATTATAATTTTCCAAATTTTAAAATTGTAAATTTTTTTAGCAGATCCCAATATAAATGTGGTGGCGTTGCAGTTTGGGCAAGGGATGATATGAAGGTTAATTCCATTTTACTCGATCAGTACCTACTGTGTTGAAAAAGACATTGAGGTATGTGGGCTGAAGTGGCATTATAATTCAAATCAACACACAATTTTAGTTTGCTACAGATCTCCTAAAGGTAAATTTGATGTATTTTATGAAAAACTTAACCTTATTTTGAATTCAAATTTTAAATCAAATCAATTCATATTTTTAACAGGCGATTTTAATGTAAATTCCATGACACTAAATAATTCACACAGATTTTCTGGTCTTCTAGCATCTTATGGTTTATCACCCAGGAACTTTACACCTACAAGGTCGACTTCCACATGCGGAAATATTTTGGATCAGGTATATACAAATTGTGATAATTGTGTAGGTACTGTAAATGTAAATACTGAATCGGATCACGATATATTCCTTTTAAGATTGAATTTTATTAATCTAACTATGACAACAGTTCGAAATACTTTCAGAGTAACACATGAAGACGCTATAGATGCATTCAACAATCTCTTGAGTAAAGAAACATGGCAAGATGTTTATCATGCAACTGATGTTGAGAGTAAATATAATGCCTTTCATGATAAATTACAGTTCTATTTCAATATTAGTTGTCCTATTAGAGAAACCAAACATTACCAAAACAAAAAAAAAAATACATGGGTCACCCAAGAAGTAAAATATTCTTCAGATAGTCTGAAGGATTTGTATATATTGAGTAAGACTTACCCTGAGCTAAAAACTCTACATAGACAAAAAAATTATCAGCACAAAGTTCTTGTTGAGGCCACAAAGGGTCAATTTTATTTTAACAAAATCTCTAAATCCTCTAACAAAAACAAAACCACATGGGCTGTTATAAATGAACTTAATGGAAAACAAAAAAATCACAAAAATATCTGTCTAAAAATAGATGATACTAGGATTACAGATTCAGATATAATATCAAACAAATTTAATGATTACTTTATAGATGCACCAGTGGATATAATTAGTAAAATAATTAAACCAAATTTAAATTTTCAGCATTCCAATAATTTTGTTCAAAGTAGTTTGTTCCTATCTTATGTAACAGAGGAAGATGTCTTAGATATAATAAAATATAAAATTAAAAACAAAGCATCGTGTGGTTTTGATGAAATATCAGGTATAGTAATTAAGAAAATTGCGTCTTAAATTTTGACACCACTGACTCACATTATAAATGCTTCTTTCAATACTGGTGTTTTTCCCAATATGCTGAAAACTTCTATCATTTCACCGGTATTAAAACAAGGTGATCCTGAATTAATGTCAAATTTTCGACCATTGTCTGTTCCATCTGTGATATCTAAGATTATTGAATATGCAATGCTAAAACAACTTTTATTATTTTTAGATATCACAAATTATCACAAAGCATCAACATGGATTTCGAAATAAATTTTCTACTTCCACAGCCATTAACAGTTTTTATGAGGAAGTCTTACTCTCAATTGAGAACAGTGAAAATCCAACTGCCATTTTTTGTGATCTCAGTCGTGCATTTGATTGTGTGCAACACGATGTGCTCCTCGATAGATTGTACAGATATGGTGTTAGGGGAGTTGCCCATAGTTGGTTTGTTTCCTATCTGAAAGACCGGCACCAAATAGTTAAAGTGAAAAATAACTTCAAGATTTCAATGTCTGATCCGATTATTAATAAGAATGGAGTACCACAGGGCTCAATATTGGGCCCTATATTATTTATTTTGTATATTAATGAACTACCACATGTAATGCCTGATGCATTTGTATCAGTTTATGCGGATGACTCAACAATGCTATATCGCGATAAAGACAAATTTTTTACAAGATAAAATTACAAACTCTCTAAAGACCTTTTCTGATTGGTCCAGTAATCAGTCGCTCCTGTTCAATGTTCACAAAACTAAATTTTTATCATTTACATCACGTTCAAATTCAACTAAACCTGATTTAAGTATTTCTATCAATGGTGAGGATATTTTGAGTTGTAGTGATGTGAAGTTTTTAGGAGTGACTTTCGACTCTCATTTATCTTTTAAGACTCATTGTTGGAATGTATGTAAAATACTCAATTCTAAATGTTATCAATTGAGAAATTTGGGTAGAATGCTTAGTCTGCATCACCTTCGTCTTTTTTATTTTGCTGAGGTACAATCAACAATAAGTTACGGTATCACTGTCTGGGGTGGTTCTTCTAGTGTAAAGGACGTTTTCAAGGCCCAAAAACGTATTGTCAGATGTATAGCAGGTGTTCCGTATGGTTGGTCTTGTAAAAACCTATTTAGAGATTTGAATATATTAACAGTGTATGGAATTTACATTTTGGAATTATTGATACTAATTCATAAAAATAAAAGAACTTTTTTATGTAACAGTGATATTCACTCACACAACACAAGAAATAAAAGACAGTTTGTAGTACCCTATCGACATTTAGAAATAAGCAGGAAGTCATCTACTATCTGTGGTTTACTACTGTATAATCAACTTCCTCAAAATTTTAAAAACATTAATTCAACTACAGCTTTTAAAAACCAAGTCAAAGAGTACCTAGTGTATCTGTGAATGCCTAAGCTGCAACATAACCAAATTTATTAATATTTTAATTATATGTCTATGTTGTAAGTATTTTAATGTCTTAAATATTTTTAATGTATTGTTTCCATTTTTTGTAATATTTAATATTTATAATTTTAGTTTTGACTTGCTGTAAACCTAGTTGTAACTTACAGTCAAATAAACGATCTATCTATTTATCTATTATGAGTACTACCTGATTAACCTTGTATATAATTATACATTATTATTTACTGTTAACTTATATCCCAGAGAATTTATTGCACAAATTACAAATGGGCGTTATTTTAATGTTTTCAAATGACAATTTTCTTTAAGCGTATACAAGAAAGAAGATCTATAATCAATAACCTAGATCGTCATTTAGAAAACCATGCAAATATTTAGCAAAATATAAGTAAACACTTACATCCAAGTATAAATCCTAATACAAACACATAAAAACTCACAGAAGTCTTCTTTAGAAGAGACCAACAAGCACAACCTAGCGGTTCAATAAGATCGAAGATCTTACCTGATGTAAACTCGCTGGTAGAACGATAAGCTGAGTTTGCTGAGGCTGAGCAGGGGGTGTTGTCGCCGGAGCTGGCGTGGGAGGGCTGCTGTTGCCTCCTCCTGCTGATGCGAAGCGGGCTGTGGTTGCCATGGCTGCGTCACCAAGGCTACTCCTGTCGGTCTCTGGAACAACCAATAGCGTGAGTTTTGACGAGGCCTTGTCAGATTCGTATTTAGCTATTTTTTGTGAAGGTATTCGGGATAAAGGATGAGGGTTCTCTTAAGGAGCAAGGTGAAGAGGCGTAGGGTGGCTGTCCTTATACGAAGAAAAGATTTTATTGATAGTTATATATTTTTGATCCATAGAATAGGACGATATAAACATTGTATTGCCCAATCGATAGAATAAGGTTTTGCCATTATAACAATAAATATAAAAAGATTTTTAAAAAGTGTATATTTCTTGTATTGTTGAAATATATTTAAATCTTACATTACACAAATGGGTAAAATAATATTTTATGAGCATTTTGAACCACAGTAACAGAAATTTATCAAAAAAAAATCATTAAAACCCATTTACAGCCAAAGGTGCGTAAACGCAACCTTTATTGTTCATTTTTTGGCCCAAGGATAATTTTTTTAATGTTTTCTATTTTTTGAAGTAACATGTCAACAGTAGATTGAGATATATAGTATTATTTTTCTTTTAACAAAAAAATAACTTTTTAAATATTTTAAGATTATTATAATTTTGCATAATTTAATAATTTATACACATCTTCATACAATTTTTTTTACGAAACTAATTATAAACATAAATCATATATGTTTTATGCTAGAGTTCTAGAAATATGTTGAAATTTTTATTATTCTAAAACTTATTCATTCATACTTTAAAAATAAGGCCTATAATTGCATGTTTACACGAAGTGGGGTGTAGAGCTAGTTCGCGTCCGTAGTAGAATACTACACGTGCACCCTGGGTAACGCTAAATGAACTAGCACATACTGGCAGTCAGACAATCCTTAGGATCTCCTGACCAAACAACACTTCCAACGAAAGATAATAAACAAAATAAACGGCCCTTGTGAGGACCGCACAACTAGACCAATCGGACCTATAGTTCGAATTTGCCACATAAACATAGAAGGCATAAGCTATGCTAAAAGCCAGTTTTTATCAAAACTATTAAAAGATGACAACATTGACTTAGTTGCTATACAGGAAACCCACTGCGAAACAGAGGAGCAACTACAAAAAAGCAAACATGAACAGTGGAAGTACAAAAATAGTGATGCAAATGGAAATGCTTTAATAAAATGGGCAGAAGACGAGCGCCTATACCTTTTGTTTGATGCCAAAGATCGACCAACCTTCAGATCTGCGGCATGGAGGCGGGAGTACAACCCCGACCTATGCTTCGTCTCAACCGACAGCAAAGACTTACCTCTAGGGGCTTCACGAAGAGTTCTAACTGATTTCCCACACAGCCAACATCGACCAGTAATAATAGAAGTAGGGACGCAAATCCCTTTAATTAGTTCTATCCCACGTCCAAGATGGAATTTTAAAAAGGCCAACTGGCGACCAAGAAATAGCGGATGAACTACTGTACAGCCTAGACGCCGCTAGAAGCCAAAAGTGGACCGAAAGAAATGGAAGTCACATTCCACCTCCACATTTACGACGAGTTGACGCACTTACACGTGAATACAAAAAGATACATGAGGAGTTCAACATCACGAATGCATGGTCCCAAGAATGGAATGCATGGCAAAATAACATGCCCTGCATTACTCACAAGCCACCAGGTTTTGATCTTCCACGTAAAACATGGTCCACTCTAAACAGGATCCGAACCAGACATGGCAGATGTGCATATATGCTACATAAATGGGGAAAGAATCCGTCTCCTCAATGTGACTGTGGGAAGAACCAAACGATCGACCACATTATTGAAGAGTGTCCCTCAAGATCCTACAACAGTAGCCCTGAAGACTTCCTGTTTGCAACTTCAGAGTCAATTGATTATGTTAATACACTTTATGTTTGTTTGTAATTAGTTAAAGTTTGTCATATACCTATATTACTAGTGTTTTGTTGTGTTTGTTCTAACTGTGTTGTAATTGCCATACGATAAATAAATACACGATGGATTCATATACGCACCTTTGGCCGAAACCATACAATATTTTTTTTCGTTAGACTAAATAACCGAAAATTTTAACAAACGATCTCATCAAAAAAGCAAATATATGACAACATCTAAATAACCACTACGATGTAAAATCGAAATTAATGGAAAAATAATAAAGTAGGAAGCAAGGTTTAGATATCTGGGAATAGATATAACTACTTACGGAGATGTTAGAGAAGAAGTACGACAACAACGCTTAAAAGCAAGAAAAGCGGCGGGATCTCTTAATGACATAATCTGGAAGAACAAAAACCTAAGACAAGACACCAAAACAAAAATCTATAAAGCAGCAATTAGACCTATATTAACATACACGACGAAGACAAGACCTGACACATCTAAAACAAGATGACTACTAGAAACAACAGAGATGAAAATACTCCAAGGAATATCAGGGAAAAGTCTGTTGGATAGGGAGAGAAGCGAAAGCATATGAAGAGCATGCTATACAGAGAACATAAATGGATGGGTGACAAAACAAAAACAGGAGTGGAACAAATACATTAGTAGAATGTCAGAGGATAGAATAGTACGAATAGCACGAAATATGTCACCAAGTGGACGAAGAAGTATTGGTAGACCAAGAAAAAGATAAATGGTGCGATAATTTGAACAATTTAGGAGGCTAATATTGAAGACTATCTTGTTCAACAAAAAATAAATTGGATCTATGAAATTGCAACCTTTCCCGGATCATGGGTAAACTAGCTCTGGTAGAATTTTTTCCAACCTTCTGCTTGAATATGCTGGATGTAACTTTGAAGTCCTTTGGTATTAAGTTATCGTCTCTACATCTTTGTAAATATTTGATTGAATTTTGACAATGTGCCAGTTTTTTGTAAATAATTTCCTATCTCCGAAAATTTTGAATAACGCTGGGCCCATAACGGTTTCTTAATATTGTTCTGAAGCATGTGGCATTTTAAAGTAATTACTATTTAAATGGGAATAAGCCACAATTGAAGGTTAAAGTAAGTTTATTAACGTTTCAATTTCCACTTCGGAAATCCGTTCGTGGTCCGAACACAGTTATTGTAGTGTATTTATACGTGTATTATCATTCCTTAGGGCTGTGGTATCCAATTGTCAATGTTAGTTCGGTAATCCTAGCATACGAAAATCGGCAACACTGTAGATAAAATTTGAAGACACGAAATTGAAATTGTCGAGTGGAGTGGCATATCAGTTACTGTTAGATCTTCATTGTAGTCGGGTTTATGTATGTACAATATCTAAAAATAACAAGAGATACCTTTCTTTACACGAACTTGAGCATCTGGCTGAAAATTTTAGCGAAATAAGTGATTGTGAATTTGATGATTCAGATGCCGATCCATTATACACTGATATTTCCGATAACAGTGAATACTCTTCAGATTGTGAACCACAAACAAAAGGGCAAAAAGTGGAAACAATTAAGGTAAGTTTATAGTTACGTATAATTTTCAAATGTATCTAACTTTGAAATATTCTAGGATGATAATGTTACAAGTCAACCTAGAATTCAAGATGAACTGTTGAATTTGCAAATAAGTGAAAGTGAATCTAAAATTGAAGATCTAAATATGTAATATAGATATGGTAAGTCCTCATATAAAGAATTTACAGGCAAATGTTATATGGAACAATGTTGATGGAAATTTGAATACATTCGACGTTATATATGAAAATACTTCTGGTACAGTTGTAGAAAGTAGGGAAAATGATACACCTTTAACATTTTATACAATGCTCCTAACGGACGAAATACTCGATATTTTAGTGCAGGAAACAAATCGATATGCCGAACAAAAATTATTGATGCTATAAATCGTGAAAACGTAAGACAAATTCATATCTCACTAACTGGAATGATACTAACAGACAAGAAATATTAAAATTTTTGGGAATTTTGATATGGATGGGTTTGAATACAAAACCACGACTACGAGATTACTGGAGCACTAATTTTATCCATCATTGCTCAATATACAAGACGACAAACATGTCGAGGTGTAGATTTGAGGCTCATCTTGCTTGCTTGCATTTTTCAGATAATGAACCCTGAAGGAAGCAGATTGTTCAAAGTTGAACCATTGTTGCAAGCGTTCAATAGAAATTTTCAATCTGCTTTGGTACCAGGCAAATACGTTTGCATTGATAAATCGATAATTCCCTTTAGAGGTCGTTTGTCATTTTTACAGTACATACCTGGCAAACCTAATAATTATGGCGTAAAAGTTTTCAATCTCTGCGGAAAGGCGGCTACACATATCACGCAAACATTTATGGAGAAAAGCAAAAAAGACCAAAGGAACAATCACTAGCACCCCTAGTGGTCATGGAATTAATGCAACCTTTTCTACATTCAGGAAGAACTTTGGTTACGGACAATTTTTACACTAGTGTCAGTTTGGCACACGAAGTAAATGATAACAATATTCATCTAATTGGAACACTTCGTAAAAATAGGAAATACAATCCTAAGTCGGTGTTTGAAGCAAAGCTAAATAAAGGAGATATGATGGCGCTACAGGGCAACACAAAAGTTGTTGTAGGAAAATGGATCGACAAAAGAGAGGTAAAATTTTTGACTACAAAATCTTGTCCAGAAATGGTCGACGTTCATACAAAATCAGGAATAAAAAGAAAACCGTCTACAATAGTAGAATATAATTCTGTTAAATCTTACATTGACGTCTCTGATCAAAAAGCTTCCTACAGTAATCCCATCAGACGTTCTATAAAATGGTATCAGAAAGTGCGAACAGAGTTATTGACAAATACAACCGTAGTGAATGCTTTAATTCTGTACAACAAAGCTTTGAACAAAAAAATGGATGTAACACAATTTCGCGAAGAATTAGTGACTGCCATTTGGAAAGACAATAATGTTACAAAACCTCAACAAACACACCATAGGCTGAAAGAATATGACAATGTTGTATGGCGATGTGTTATATGTTATAGCACACTGACAAAATCCTTTGGTCGCGCACATGC